GGCTCACACTTGTAATCCCAGCACACTGAGAAGCCAAGGTTGATGTATAAACTGAGGTCAGGAGTTTGAGACCAGCCTGGCCAAGGTGGTGAAACCCTGTCTCTGCTAAAAATACAAAAATTAGATGGGTGAGGTGACAAATGCCTGTAATCCCAGCTACTCAGGAGGCTGAGGAAGGAGAATCACCTGAACCCAGGAGGCGGAGGTTGCAGTAAGCTGAGATAGAGCCACTGCACTCCAGCCTGGGTGACAAGAGTGAAACTCCATCTAAAAAGAAAAAAAAAAATTAGCCGGGTTGCAGGTAAGCTGAGATCACATCATTGCACTCCAGCCTGTGAGCAATGAGAAGAGTGAAACTCCGTTCCCCCTGCAAAGCTACTCAGGTGGCTAAGGCACAAGAATCGCTTGAACCGGGGAGGAGGAAGTTGCAGTGAGTTGAGATCGTGCCACTGCACTCCAGCCTGGGTGACAGAGTGACACTTGTCTCAAAAACAGAAAAAAAAAGGTCTACTATAAATAAATATTATACTTCCTATCCTCCTGACAGCAACTTCACAGAAAACAGAAATTTCAGAGGGAACTTGAAAACAGCACCATAAAAGTATAATCTGTTCCTAAAGCATTTTAGTAGCTTTATCCAAACATCAAACAAATAAACATAAGTTAAACAGTATTAAGTGGGACAAAAAGAAGTTAACTGGTTTTCACGTTTATATATTGTAACAATAGTCCAGATTACTTCAACTCACTTCAGCCATGTGAAATAACACACATAATGTTTCTACAGTGCTTTATGATAGATGTATGCATTTAATAAGACTTTCAAAATGTTTGGCCTCCACTATGAAAGTTTTTATGGAGACAGGGTATCACTCTGTCACCCAGGCTGGAGTGCAGTGGCTTGATAACAGCTCACTGCAGCCTGGAACTCCTGGACTCAAGTGATCCTCCCACTTCGGACTCCCAGAAGTGTTGGGATTACAAGAATGAGCCACCGTGCCCAGCCTATAATGTGATAACTGTGTTGATGGGCTAAGAAGCCACTTGGTACCTTCTGAATCACACTGAATCACTTGGTACACTATTCTGAATCACAGGTGTTAGGTTACACAGGTATTTCCTACATTTTAGAGATAGGTCATCTCTGCTGGAGATGTTTGCTCTGCAGCCAATAAAACCAGAAATTAAATTCACACAGTCAAGATTGAAATTCTATGCCTCTAGCGAAACACCGATTAAGTAATCAGGATCTTAGTTTTTTTTGTTTTTTTTTTTTTGAGATGGAGTCTTGCTCTGTCACCCAGACTGGAGTGCAACGGCGCAATCTCAGCTCACTGCAACCTCTGCCTCCCAGATTTAAGCAATTCTCTGGCCTCAACCTCTCCAGTACCTGGGATTACAGGTGCCTGCCACCACACCCGGCTAATTTTTGTATTTTTAGTAGAGATGGGGTTTCACCATGTTGGCCAGACTGGTCTCAAACTCCTGACCTTGGTGATCTGCCTGCCTCAGCCTCCCAAAGTGCTGGGATTACAGGCATGAGCCACCATACCTGGCCAGGATCTTAGTTCTACATGTAGGCAACACTGTGGGAATTCACTCAGGACGGTAGCAAAAATGTTAAGAGAAAAATAGTAGAGAGGATTACAGTATATAGTCTCAAACTCTTTTGGAAGGCCTAAGGGCTTTTTCATAGTTTCAGTAGAAGTTTCAGCTGAAGGCAGCCTAAATCCCCTTTACATTTAGTTAATAAGCAAATCAAATAGGGTACATGGAGGAGTTCATCTAACTAACTTGTTTACTCATGTGGTCTTAAGACTAACCTTTGAGCTGATGACCCTCTCAGGGGGAGGTCAACCAGGGAGATGACCCTCTAATGGTGTCTGTTTTGGGTACTGAAACCTATGCTTTAATCTTCACGCTAATAGTGTTGACTCAAGCCTTTGTCAATTAAACTTTACTAAATAAATGCAAGTCTCTGGCTGGTGGGGGCCAGCAGTTGCAACTGTTTACAGCGGTCTCCAGGTAGTCTCTAAGAAGCTGCAGGGACCCTCGGCCAAACTGGCAAAGCAAACTATCTGTGTATCAGTGTACTTTATTCACCTGTCACTGAGTCAGGGTCGGCAGAACAGATCCCAACAGGTAGTGACCCTGATACATCACAATGAGTAAGTACTGGTAACATTTTCTTCATTGAAAACCAGCCCAAAAAAAAAAAAAAAAAATCAAAGAATTAATGAATTATTCTTATCAAATCAAATAAATGCAAAGACAGAAATGCAGAATTCCTGTTTACAAATTAGCTAAGTCAGACAGCCTTACAGAAAGAAACAACTAGTAAATGAGCATATATTCCATTCAAGTACCTTTTTTCTTTTGTAGAGATGAAGTCTTGCTATGTTGCCCAGGCTGGTCTCCAACTCCTAGCCTCAAGCAATCCTCCCATCTTGGCCTCCTAAAGTGCTGGGATTACATGCCTGAGCCACCATGCCCGGTGTCACTTCAAACATTTAATGAGCAGGGAAGATTAAAATACAATACAGCAGTAAGTAGCCAGGCTTGGTGGCACACACCTGTAGTCTCAGCCACTTGGGAGGCTGAGATAGGAGAATTGCTTGAACCCGGGAGGCGGAGGTTGCAGTGAGCAGAGATCACAACACCATGCTCCAGCCTGGCGACAGAGAGAGACTTTGTCTCCAAAAAAAAAAAAAAAAAAGAAAAAAGAAAGGTAAATAATCAAGCACTATACTGAAAACAATCCTTATCAGCCACATGGCAGCCTGTGTGTAAGAGCTACATAAAATTTCATTTTAGGGCTGGGTGCAGCAGCTCATGTTTGTAATCCCAACACTTTGGGAGGCTGAGGCTAGAGAATCACTTGAGGCCAGGAGTTCCAGATCACCCTGGCAACATATAGGGATTCCATCTCTACAAAAAAATTAAGCCAGGCAGACTAAATTAGTAGGTGGCAGGCCTGTGGTCCCAGCTACTTGGGAGGCTGAGACGGGAGAATCGCTTAAGCCTGGGTGGTGGAGGCCACACTGAGCTATAGTGAGCTGTGTTCGTCCCACTGCATTCCAGCCTGGGCAACAGAAAGACTCATTTTAACCACACAACGACCCAGCTAAAAACCCCTCCCTGGTTCTGTCACCATCAGATAAAGCCTAAGCTCCTGTATCTCTGTCTTGCACTTTTTCACTTGAACAATAACCACCCTCCAGGCTCAGTAGCTGATACCTGTAATTTCAGCACTTTGGGAGGCTGGGGTGAGAGGACTGCTTGACTCCAGGAGTTCAAGACCAGCCTGGGCAACACAGCAAGACTCCATCTTTACAAAATATTTAAAAATCAGCTGGGCGTGGCAACACACATTTGCAGTCCCAACTACTCTGGAGGCTGTGGTGGGAGGATCACTTGAGCCCAGGCAGTTGAGACTTCAGAGACTCACAATCGCGTCACTGTACTCCAGTGACGAAGTGACATTCGGTCTCTAAATTAATAAATAAATAAGCAAGCAAGCACTTCCTTGCAGTTACTGGCCTTCTCTCCTTTGGTTCCCTCCTCTCCCTCAATGAACCCTGCAGAGTGAATGTTAATCATTCTTCAAGGCACCTGCAGAAAGTGTTCCCTGACCCCTTCCAGGCTCTACGCCCAACAGCCTGGCCTAAATGCCCAGCTCCTTCCTTGGTGCTCCATCTTAGCTCACACTCCTTACCACAATGTTTTGAAAGTATCTTGACTGTCCCTTCTCTTCAGCTGGCTAACATCTAGAGAGCAGAAACATGACTGCTTGGAAGGACATTAAAAATTCAAATCCTGAACATTTTTTAATCCTGCGGCTATGAATCAGTAACTCTTAAAAGCAAAATGTTACTTATCATTAAATATTAACAATATAATCAAATTTTCTTGCATCTCTGGGAAGTTTCTTGGTACAGCAACTTTAAGGAACAGACTTTAACAGCAGTTAAAGCCGCACGGTGGCTCACGCCTGTAATCCCAGCACTCTGAGAGGCCGAGAAGGGAGGATGACTTAAGGCCAGGAGTTTGAGACCGCCCTGGGCAACAGACTGAGATCTCATCTCTAAAAAACAAATGAACAAATAAAAACAAAGCAGTTTTAGGTTTAGAGGAGGAAAAGTATGTCTCCAAGCCAAAAACCAACTCCCAAGGTGCTGCCGCCGTAAACTCGTCCTGGGAAAATTTCCTATCTAATCGCAAAGGCAAAACAAGCCTACCGGCGCCCGTGACACATTTCCCAACCGCAAGGATTGGTCACCCGCCCTGAGACACCGCCAGCTGCCTATGACCCAGTCTCCAAAGCGGCTGAGTCCCTCCCTCTCCTCTCCCTAAACTTCCGTGATGGGCATCCCTCGGCTCTCCTCCCCGACGGTTTGGAAATAGGGCCTTCTGCTCCAAACCCCAGCCCCGCAGCCCCGCCTCAGCCACGGGGTGGAAGTCAGGACCACAGGCTTCAAACGCCCTCCCAACTCCGGGACGCTTCCTTCCCCCCAGGGCGACGCGGGATCGAGTCCTGGCGCCCCCGTTGCGATCGGGGTAGCTGCAGCCTGGGTGCGAGCGTCCCATCCAGGCGCGTTCCGGGGAGGTCCCGGGAGGGTCCCGCGCGAACACAGGTGTTGCTTCGGAGCCCGCGTCCGGGTCGAGGGGAGCCGCCGGGGAGGGAGGCGGCCAGGAAACGCTCCGCGTCAGGCCGTCGGGGATCAGCCGGGCGCTGCGGGTCCCGGTACCCAGCGTCTGGGACAGGGAGGCCGCGCGCTGCGAGGACTGAGGAGCCGAGAGCGGCCCGGAACCGGGAGGGCGGCGCTGACGGGCTCGGAATGTGGGACGAAGGGCGGCGGGAGGCACCGACGCGCAACTGCCCCGGCCGCGCGGACGGCACGGACCAACCGACCCGCCGCCCCCGGCCCGAGACGCCCCGCCGCCCGGCCCCCAGCGCTGAAAGCCGCGCCGCCCTCGGCCCCCGTCCGTCCGCTCCGTACCTCGCCCGCGGCTCCGCCGGCGTCCACACCACCGCTCGCCCAGCGTCTCTCAGGCAGGTCTGGAATCCCGGGGCCGCTCCCGCCTCACACCCACCCTCCCGCTCGCCCCGCCCCCGGCACCGCCACCGCCACCGCCACCGCACGCACGTTACGCACGGCGCGCAAACGTCACTTCCGGGGCCTTGGGCTCGTGACGGGCGGAAGTCCGGAGCGGAGGGCGACGCCGCCCTGACGCCCGCGAACAAAGGGAAGGGGGCAACATCCTGGCTGAAGTTGGGGTTTTGGGAGCCCCGGAGAAGCCGGCGTTTCCCAATCTGTGGCTCAGTCCCGCGCTTCCGGCTTCCGACGCGCAGCAGCCCGAGGGCGACGCTGGGACCGCGGCGTCATGTGGGCTGCGGCCGCGGTGGTAACCGGAATGGGAGGTGAAGCGGAGCCGCTACGCCAAGGGACGCTTCAAAGACTCTGACCTTTCAGCCTTCCGGGATCCTAGGATGTGACAGGTGTTCCAGTTAAAGGATCTTAACGGGATCGGTTGATCCAAAAGCAGCTGAGTCTTTGGGAGCCTCAGGCAAGAGAATCGCTTGAGGCCGGGAGTTCGAGACCAGCCTGGGCAGCAGAACAAGAGCTCGTCTCGACAAAAGGAATTTTAAAAATCAGCCGAGCATGATGGCTCGTACTTGTTGTCCTAGCTACCTGGGAGGCTGAGGTGGGAGGATCGCTTGAGAGCCCAGGAAGCTGAGGCAGCGGACATCCCTCCACTGAACTGCAGCCCGGTGACAGCAGAGCGAGACTGTCTAAAAAAAAAAAAAAAAAAACCCAGCATAACCGAGACCCAGAAGTTAAACAAATTAGCCAGTATCACAAAGTAGTAATGTTTGAGTCACAAACAAAATCCTGTTTGCGTGATTTTTTTTTCTTTTTTTTGAGGCGGAGTCTTGCCCTGTCTCCCAGGCTGGAGTGCAATGTCGCGATCTCTGCTTTGCCTCCCGGGTTCAAACGATTTTCCTGCCTTAGCTTCCCAAGAAAGCTGGGATTACAGGCACCCACCACCACGCCCAGCGTGTGTGTGTGTGTGTGTGTGTGTGTGTGTGTGTGTTTAGTAGAGATGGATTTCACCCTGTTGGCCAGGCTAGTCTCGAACTCCTGACCTCGTGATCCGCCTGCCTCAGCTTCCCAAAGTGCTGAGGGATTTCAGGTGTGAGCCACTGTGCTCGGCCTACGGGATTCTTTATGTGATTCCTTACATGATTCCCGTGTAACGAATGTTAAAAACAGTAGCTAAATACTGACTGCTCTGTGTCTGGGATGCCATCTATAGCATAAGGTGCCGTCGCAGCAAGAAAAGAAAGAAAATACGATGGTGTGACTGTGAGATGGACCTGGGTTGGAATCCCAGCTTTGCTAATTGTCACTGCAGCTGTGTTCTTGGACAGGTTGCTTAATTTTTCAGTCTTTTTTTTTTTTTTTTTTTTTTGAGACAGCCTCACTCTGTCACCCAGATTGGAGTGCAGTGGCACGATCTCAGCTCACTGCAATCTCCACCTCATGGATTCTCCTGCCTCAGCCTCCGGAGTAGTTGCGATTACAGGTATGCACCACCACACCCAGCTAATTTTGTATTTTTAGTAGAGACATGGTTTCTCCATGTTGATATCAGGCTGGTCTCGGACTCCTCAGCCTCCCAGGTTCAAGCAATTCTCATGCCACAGCCTCCCAGGTAGCTGGGATTACAAGTGCCCACCACCACACCCAGCTAATTTTTTAACATATTTTTAGGAGGGAGAGTGTGTCACCATTTTGGCCTGGCTGGTCTGGAACTCCTGACCTCAAGTGATCCACCTGCCTCAGTCTCCCAAAGTGCTGGGATTTCAGGCATCAGCCTCCACACCTGGCCTTGTATAATCCTTTTAATAACATTCCGTTAAATTCAATTTGGCAGTGTTTTCTCTTTTTTTAATTTAATTTTTTAAAATATTATTTTCTAAGACGGGCTGTTACTGTGTCACCCAGGCTGGAGTGCAGTGGTGCGATTGTGGCTCACTGCAGCCTCAACTTTCTGGTTCCAGTGATCCTTCCACCTCAGCCTGCCAAGTAGCTGGGACCACAGATATGTAAAAACACACCCAGCTAATTTTTGTATTTTAGCTAGAGATGGGTTTTTGCTATGTTGCCCAGGCTGGTCTCGAACTCCTGAGCGCAAGTCATCCACCTGCTTTGGCCTCCCTAAGTGCTGGGATTACAGGCATGAGCCACTGTGCCCCCGCGAGTTTGGCAGTGTTTGGGAGTTTTTTTTTTTTTTTTTTTGCTGCTGGAGTTTCGCTGTTGTTGGCCAGGCTGGAGTGCGGTGGTGCGATCTTGGCTCACCGCAATCTCTGCCTCCCAGGTTCAAGCAATTCTCCTGCCTCAGCCTCCAGAGTAGTTGCGATTACAGGTATGCACCACCACACCCAGCTAATTTTGTATTTTTAGTAGAGACAGGGTTTCTCCATGTTGATCAGGCTGGTCTTAGACTCCTGACCTCAGGTGATCCACCCACCTCGGCCTCCCAAAGTGCTGAGATTACTGGTTGTTGTATTATTAAAAATGAGTTAGTGAGGTCTCCAGTGATCACTGTGAAACTATTTCTCCCTTCAATTCTGTCTTTTTTGCTTCATGTTGTGGAGCTCTGTTGTAAGGTGCATATAAGTTTTAAATTATGATATCTTCCTGTTGGATTAAACTTTTGATCAGTATAGGATTCCCTTGTTTCTCATAACCATTTTTGGCTTAAAACCTATTTTGCCTAACATATGGCCACTCCTGGTCTCATTTGGTTACTTTTTGCATGGAATTTATTTTTCCATTCTTTTGTTTTCAATCACTTTGTGTCTTTGTATCTAAAGTGAGTCTCTTATAGACAGTATATAGATGGATCATGTTTTTTTGTTTTTGTTTTGTTTTTTTTTAACATCTCCCAAGGCTCTGTCATCCACCTTTTTATTTAATACATTCCACAAATCTCTCCTGGGCTCAGGTGATCCTCCCATCTCAACTGCCTGAGTAACTTGGACTACAGGCACATGCCACCACTCATAGCCTATATTCTTCTTCTTCTTCTTTTTGTTTTTTTGGCTTAAATAACAGAAGTTTATTTCTGTTGGTTATGAAGTCTAGAAATCCAAGATAAGATCACAGTACTGGCAGATTTTGTTTCTGCTGAGGCCTTTCTCCTTAGCTTATAGGTGGTCGCCTTCTGTGTCCTCACATGGCCTTTTCTCTGTAAGCATGCATCCTTGCTGTCTCTGTGTGTGTCCAAATTTCCTCTTATTATAAAGTCACCAGTGTCAAATTGGATTAGGACCCATCCTAATGGCATCATTAAATTCACCTCTTTAGAGACCCTTTTTCTAAATACAGTCACATTCTGAGGTACTGGGGTTAGGACTTCAACATATGAATTTGGTGGGGATCCCAATTAAGCCTATAATATAATCATAAATTACTTAAAAACTAAATAGCCTGGTGATATAGAATAAGCAGGCAGAAGTGAGAGTTTGGAAGCCTAGGGAGACCCTGATAAGATGATGACATTAAGCTGAGACCATAGGGGACTCAGGGTGAAGCCATGTGGGAAGGGAGAGAAGAAAGATGCCAGACAGTTCTGGAGGTTGGGCAGGACTTAAGTGACTCTCAGACTAGCAACTCATCCAAATGTGAAAGCTCTCGGGACTCAGAAGACAATAGGACTAAGCAAAAATGCAGCACCAGTGCAGAAGTTTTGGCTTCTTATTTAGCTCATATCGTATCTCCCAGTTAGAAAGTTTTCTGTGTATTTAATGTAGAATCCCCCTTGCTGTGATATAAACCTGTATCCTCCTGTTCTGTCCCCAGGGAAGTGATGTCACAAGTCTGTTTATTTATTGGAATACTATTATTTAACTTTTCTGCAGACTTATTTTCTGCAAGTTGTTTTGACTTTTTTCTGTAACTGGATCTGGGTAACCTGGTAGTGCAGAGCCAGGCCCTGGGCTTCAAGACAGGGACACACCAAGGCTCAGGACACAGACATGCCCCCACTCTGCTCCCCACCAGCCTAGGGACTCAGCTGGGCCAGGTAGTCGGCTTTGTCAGACTCTTCATCTGGGAAACAATGTTAGATTCTGGTTAAATTTAGCACTGAGTATGGTATCTATTTAATAATTGTTAAGGTTTTCTAAAAATTAAATCCTCTGTACTTCTCTCAAGCTTTGGAGCCTAAACTAGAAATAGTACTGAAATCAAAGTCCGATTTCTGCCTCTTATTTTTCTTTACATTATATTTCAGTTCATGATGCTTGTTCATTTTTTGGACAGTTAAATAGCAGCTTGGACTCAAGTTCACTATAAAGTTCACAATTACTCCTTGGCCATTTGCAGCCAACGTAGTGGCATGCTCCAGCCGTTCCTTTCTTCATTTTGGTCACCTACGAATCTCCACGTTGCTCCCTAAATCCAACAGTGTGTGGGCACTTGGCACATAGTGGGTCTCCATGCTGGACATCCATGACAACAGTCCATTTGATTTGTTTTATTTTGTTTTGTTTTTTGAGACAAAGTCTCGCTCTGTTGCCCAGGCTAGAATGCAGTGGCATGATCTCGGCTCACTGCAACCTCCGGCCGCTAGGTTCAAGAGATTCTTCTGCCTCAGCCTCCCAAGTAGCTGGGATTACAGGCATGCACCACCACGCCCAGCTAATTGTCCATTTGATGGTCTCACCTTCTGGCTTCTAACTGCCACCTCCCATCATAGAGTTAGGTAGAGTTGATCCTTTCCAAAATCTAGTCTTATGGAATCCCCATCTGATGACCATCATCTCACTGCCTTAATACCCTGTGTCATAAGCTTGGTTTCAGATCCTATCAGGCTTTGGACCTGTACACCTTTCCCAGTTGCAGAGTCCAAAACTGGCTCCTGTCTTATTTCTTCTTTACTTGATCCAGGTCCCATCATTCTAGCCACACTCCTGCAGGTTAGCCCCATCCTTTGATGCTCACTGCTCAAGCACTGCCACTACTTATCATCCTGCCAGGACCCCCCAGCTATCTGGCTTTCTCTCTCTGCCATGCTGATCTTTGGGCCTTGTGAGACAAATGAAAAGAGTTACTACAACTCATCAGAGCTGGTTTTCTCACTTCAACCACGTCCTTAGTGCTGCTTGGGAATTATTCTGCTTGTCCTCATACAGTTTCCTGTCTCCCACAATGGCTAGCCCAAAATGTCACCACTTTGCTCCTGCCCCCCCTGCCCTTTTTGAGACGGAGTCTCACTCTGTCACCAGACTGGAGTGTAGTGGCAAGATCTCAGCTCACTGCAACCTCTGCCTTCTGGGTTCAAGCAATTCTCCTGCCTCAGCCTCCCAAGTACCTGGGACTACAGGCACATGCCACCAAGCCCAGCTAATTTTTGTATTTTTAGTAGAGATGGGGTTTCACCATGTTGGCCAGGATGGTCTTGATCTCTTGACCTCGTGATCCACCCACCTTGGCCTCCCAAAGTGTTGGGATTACAGGCGTGAGTCACCGCGCCTGGCCTGATCCAGCCCTTTCTTGACCTGCCTATTTCTTTACAGTTACCTTTATTTGCTGATCCCTCACTTCTCTAATTAAAGATATAGCCAGGTGCAGTGGCCCATGCCTGTAATCCCAGCACTTTGGGAGGCTGAGGTGGGAGGATCATGAGGTCAGGAGTTCAAGACCAGCCTGGCCAACATAGTGAAACTCCATTTTTTTTTTTTTTTTTTTTTTTTTTATTGAGACGAAGTTTCACTCATGTTACCCAGGCTGGAGTGCAATGGTGCGATCTCGGCTCACTGCAACCTCCGCCTCCTGGGTTCAGGCAATTCTCCTGCCTCAGCCTCCTGAGTAGCTGGGATTACAGGCACGCACCACCATGCCCAGCTGATTTTTTGTGGTTTTAGTAGAGACGGGGTTTCACTGTGTTGACCAGGATGGTCTTGATCTCTTGACCTCGTGATCCACCCGCCTTGGCCTCCCAAAGTGCTGGGATTACAGGCTTGAGCCACCGCGCCCGGCCGTGAAACTCCATTTCTACTAAACATACAAAAAAATTAGCCAGGCATGGTGGCGGGCGCCTGGGAGGCCAAGGTAGGAGAATCACTTGAACCTGGGAGGCGGAGGTTTCAGTGAGCCAAGATCGCACCACTGTACTGCAGCATGGGTGATAGTGTGAGACTTTGTCTCAAAAAAATAAAATATTCAAATTAATCTGTGATTTCTTTCTCCTAATACAAATGACCCTAAATTAAATACAGGCCAGATGACCCAAGGAGATAATGACGATATAGACTTTTTTTTTTTTTTTTTTTTTTTTTGAGACTGGGTCTCACTGTTGCCCAGGCTGGACTGTATCGGTCTGATTACAACTCACTGCAGCCTCGACCTCCTGAGCACAGGCAATCCTCCCACCTTAGCCTCCTGAGTAGCTGCGACTACAGGTGTGTGCCACCACACCCAACTAATTTTTTTTGTATTTCTTGAAGAGACAGGATTTCACCATGTTGGTCAGGCTGATCTGGAACTCCTGTGCTCAAGCAATCGGCCTCCCTCAGCCTTCCAAAGTGCTAGGATTATAGGTGTGAACCCCTGCACCCAGCACAGTGTCTAGTAGACTGGTCTTACATGTCAGATACAAGGTTCCAAGTATTCTATGTTATTTTTATTTTGAATAGGTGACATGTGAATGCACATGGGATGGCATTTGGGCAGAGCAGCAGCACCTGAGTTCATCTTCCTCTCTTGGGACGTTAGAAATAGTCCCCTCTGGTGTCCATATGGGGAAGTGCTCTGGGTGTCAGCTGGCCTCCACTACACATGGGTACCTAACTGCAATTTGCTGTGGCTTTTCGCAGTCGGGCATAAGAGCTGGAATTTCTGTTAATCTGTCAATATTTGCATATGTAATGAAGTGTCTTCCGAAGCCAAAATATTTGAAAAACAATGACCTACCCTCATTGTGTGGGTCAAAATCTCAGGTTCACTTTATTGCTGCAGGCTGCTGTGGATAGACATCCCTGAAGGGGTTCTTTCAGATGGTGCCTCTAGACCTTGAAACTTGATTATATTGCAGCTATCACACCTACAAGGACTACTAGCCTCAGCCAACCCCTCATCATGGAGCTACAGAAATAAGGGAGGGGCTGCCCATGCTCATGCCCCTCTATATAGCCTTACTGAGGGCTTTAAGTGTGTCTTGGGGTAAAGCAGGATAGGAGAAAAGATATACAGGGTTTTCAGCTATTGGAATGCTGGATCCTTAGCCAGGGATCAGGTAAACCCATGTCCTAAAAAGAGAATGATTAGGCAAAGAAACAGGGTCACAAATGGCCAGTATTGCTTATAAACCCCAGTGACAGCCTTCCACTCTGGAAACATCCCCCTTTTTTTTTTTTTTTTTTTTTTTGAGACAGTCCAGCTCTGTGAGGCTGGAGTGCAGTGGTGCGATCTCGGCTCACTGCAACCTCCGCCTCCCAGGTTCACACAATTCTCCTGCTTCTGCCTCCCGAGTAGCTGGGACCACAGGTGCGTGCCACCACGCCTGGCTAATTTGAGTATTTTTAGTAGAGATGGTGTTTCACCATGTTGGCCAGGATGGTCTCAATCTCTTGACCTCATGATCCCCTCACCTCAGCCTCCCAAATTGCTGGGATTACAGGCGTGAGGCATCACACTTGGCCTGGAAACGTCACTTTATTTCCCATTATCATGCTGACTGATACCTTCGTTGGACTGTCTGGAAATTCTGCCTTTGGATCTCAATCCGCAAATCCAGGTCATCCCAGGGGTGCTGTTGCCGTAAAAGGGTCAGAATTGCCATTCAAAGAGAGAATATTGCTGACAGATGTTCAAAATCAAGTCATAAACCCCATCTCAATGGAATCCTCTAGCCCATGGAAGTGGTGAAATATTCCTGCAGGTAACTGGACAAGGGATTTCTTCTCATTTTTCTGCCTCTCTGGTCCAATGGGAGTTTCCAAATACAGCTGCCTTTGAAGAATAAACTTAGATAATTGGGTGGAATATCCCCTGAATGTCTGGAAGCAATTACATTCTGCCTTGATGCCTGGGAGGGCTGAATGAATCATGCCACCCTCATTTCATCTAACAGTGATGTGGTCAGCTCATTAGTGAAGTTCGTAGTTCTGTTAGGACACTTGTGGTGAACTCGGTTTCCAGGCAAGATATTTATTTTACTTTTTATTTTAGAGACAGGGTCTTGCTCTATCACTGAGGCTGGACTGCAGTGGTGCAATCATGTCCCGCTGCAACCTCAACCTCATGGGCTCAGGTGAGCCTCCCACCTCAGGTTCCCAAGTAGCTAGAACTGCAGGTGCACGCCACAATGCTTGGCTGATATTTTTAATTTTTTTTTTTTTTCAGACACAGGGTCTTGCTCTGTTGCCCAGGCTGGGCTTGGATTCCTGACCTCAGGCAATCCTCTTGCCTCTGCCTCCCAAAGTGCTGTAGGATTACAGTTGTGAACCACCATGCCTGGGCAGGCAAAATAATTAGATTCTTCCTTCCTGGTGCAAGTGAAGCTAGTCTGTCTGCTCCGTGGGGTCCTGCAGGCATCCTCTGCAGCTGCTGTGGAGGTAGATACAGAACTTCCCTTACCTTAAGTGGATAGAGAGCCTGCAGGATTTTCTGCTGCTTCTGCTATAGAGACTAAAAATGCTCTCCATTTCCTAGCAGGCTAGATGTAAAAGCTGACTTGGAAAGCAAGGAACATCATTGCTGAGTGTACCTACCTGCCAGAGAATAAGCAGTCCTGGGTACTGCATCACTGTCATGGTTGGCTAACAGGTACCAAATAAGGCATGGCCTGAAGTGGCCAACCAGCTTTTAAATGCCAAAGACAGGACAGTTACTAACAGAGGGGAGAGGTGGAGAGGACATGATGAGAGGGACAGTAAAACACCTGCAACCCACACACAGATGGGCCCTTGGGGCAGAGTCAGCTGAGGTACAGTTAGTTGGTGATGCAGATGCTATGCTTAAACCACAAGGCATTTATAAAAATTCACACATTGTAGCGACTTAAGCCTACTCATGATACCACCCTGACCTCTACAAAAATACTGAAGATATAAGATTTCTTCAACTGGACTCTGAACCTGTAAGTTTCTTTTAATGAGGGTCAAGCTCCAAGTTTTGTGTTGCTATGTGATTCTGTTTCTTGGTTTTAATAATGACTGAGAGAAGTATGGATACCTCCATTACAAAAATCTACTGGGGCTGGGCCGTCTGCCAGGATCATGTCCTTTTTAGTGGAGCGGCACATAGCTGACTGAACGTAGGGGCTACTTAAGGACTACACATCTGATATGGTTTGGTTCTCTGTCCCACCTAAATCTCATGTCGAACTGTAATCCCCACTTGTCAGGGGAGGGAGGTGATTGGATCATGCAGGCAGATTTCCTCTATGCTGTTCTCATTAGAGTGGGTGAGTGCTCATGTGATCTCATAGTTTAAAAGAGCAGCATTTCCTCTCTCTCTCTCTCTCTCTCTGTCTCTCTCTCTCTCTCTGTCTCTGTCTCTCTCCTGCCACCATATAAGACGTGACTTGCTTCTCCTTCACCTTCCACCATGATTAGAAGTTTCCTGAGGCCTCCCCGCCATGCGAACTGTGAGTAAATTAAACCTCATTTCTTTATAACTTACCCAGTCTCAGGGTAGCTCTTTATAGCAGTGTGAAAATGAACTTTTTTTTCTTTTTTCCTAGAATCTTTTCCTGAAATATGAAGACATTCTAATACTTGTTCTAGAGTATGTGCTTTCCACATTTTCACAGGTCAGCTAGAGTGAAGCCCTGAACCTCAGAGACAGGATACTAAGCTGCCAGAAGGAAGGAAGGATCCTGCTGTTGAACACCCCTGAGCATTTCAGAAAGGGGCTCTGCGTTTGAGTCCTGACTTTTCCACTTACTAGCTCAGCGCTTTTGGGGAAACTATACCTGTGTGAGCTTCTGTTTCCAACCTGTATTATTAGTGTACTATTACTATGTGACTGCTCAGTGATTAGGTCAGGGAATACATTTGGCCCAGGTGATACAGTGGTTTTGTTTAGAAGCCAGAATAATCAGATTTAAGGGAAGCAATTGGAGGGTATGAAGCTACTCAGTGCTTCAGAACTCACCTTTCCGAGTTAATCCGTGATGTGACTCCAAGGGGCATCTTGATGAGGACACTCATTAGCCAGGAAGGTCTCAAGCTGTGCTTTCAAGAGGAAGGGCAACGTATGTCCATTTTCCTCAAGAAAGGGTCTTAACCACCCACAAACGCTCACATAAATCTAGAGCTGCTTATTTCCCCACTGAAAAAGAAGTGGTGATATGACAGGAGGAACTTATGTCAGAACTACCTGACATGGTTGTGAGCCACACACATGACTGCACCTGTAGTCTCTTCTTTCCTTGGAGAAGTCCCAATAGAAGAGGACAGAGATGTACCTAGGCTGAGGTGGACTCATGCCCACCTGAAACATAGATGACGCTAGAGTAACTCCGGAAGGGTCCTCAAGAGGCCCACCTCCCTTTCAGGGCAGGAGTTCAGCTGCTTGTCTCAGAGAAGAGCCTGTCTTATTGTGTGGGGAATCCCCAAACATACTACATTTTAAGCAGAAATAAAATATATTTGCTGGCAAAGTGGGGGTCAGAGAAGGGATGAGCACACATCTCTAAAAAAGAAAGGCACAGCACCCAGGTTCTAGTTCTTGACTTTAATGCCCTTGGAGAGTACTGAGGCTCCATACACCAAAGCACTCACAGACAGGTATATGAACTCACACAGGAAGTGTTATACTGTGTACATAAACCCAACACCGTACAGAAGGAAGGCAACGGACCCAGGTGACCTCCCACACTCAAGGTGACTGCCTATTCCCACACCCAATGTTTGGTCCCACCTCCCTCAACCTTTGCCAACCCCCATCCTTCCCCACTCAATATGTATATACACAAATGATGATTCTTTCAGAATTCCACAAGTGCCTCTCCCACCCCAGTTCCCAACACTCCAGCTTTGGATGAAAAGGGCCTCTCTTTTAAGGATCATGAGACAGGCACCACCTTCATGCAAGAGCCCCAGCAAAACAGTACCCAGGAAAGCTTAATAATGCATATTGGAATCAAATATGGATAGAACATATGCAGAACACAATATTTGAAATCTTACTGGGATCAGAATGCTCGGTGTGGGTAGTTTTTGTTTTGTTATTGCTGTTTGCTTTAACCTGTTCAGGATCCGGTTTAGACCAAGACTACACATGGATGCTGACTCTACCCTGTCTTATAAATGTCGACTTCATAGTCCTCCAACAAGCAACCCATAACAGGAAGATTATATTACCTAATAAGCCTGAGGCACAAGGCTCAGACAGCTCCCAGATTACCCTAAGACCCAGCAAAGAAGAACAGAAACTTGCAGAGTACAGCTGACTGCTTTCTGCATGGTAAGCACTGGGCAGCATGGTGAACAAGGCAGAGGTAGAATAAGGAAGGTGATGATCATTCCCTTTCATCTATTTAGAATGTTACACAAAGAGTGCCTCCCCTGGAATGCGATGTGTTTCGGTGTGGTTTGGTTCAGTCTTTTTTGTTGCTATAACATTAGCTTTTTTATTTTTAAGGAATTTTGTTATGGCGAGCATCGCACCATGTGGTCCCATCTCCTGAAACTTTCAATTTGGTTTGACTCACTGATAACTACTGGCCTGTCTCAAGGCAAGATGAATCCAGTCCCTTGTCTAGTGAGAGGGGTTTACAGTTCTATAAAGATGCACTTCCTTGTGACTAGGGAGAAGCTTTCATCCTTTGGAGCCTTCATTCCAGACCCGACCCTTCTTCTGTTCTGGGCCTGGCCATTTTGAGTTGAAAAGAGATGAGATGGGGAGAAGTCACTTCCACAGGGCTAACCCCTTTATTTGGAGGCCGTTACCAGAACCCACCACATCTAATTGTACTTTTCAACCTGGCTTTGGTTTCTCATCAGAATAGCTAAACTAGGCCACTGAATTTTCACTCCATTGAGAAATTTTCACTCAGCTTGCTGCCCAGTGTTACCTCTCTACCTGCTCTACTGGCCCAGAGCCTTGTCCTACGGTGACACAGAAACAGGGGTTCCTCCAGCAAGTGACACAGGACCGGTGTTCTTACCCAGCATCCCTGTAACCCTAACCAAGCCTTCAGGACCTGTTTTTGAGCAAACCTGCATTTGAGCAAGCAAGTTTCTCCCTGGTTTGCATGCATGGACTCTAAATAACCAAGCCCTGCGATGCCCCATGGCAGAGTGGGGAAGGTGAAGGGGTCAAGGCCAGATTGCTGAAAGCACTGGGCTTAATGAACTGTTCTCTATTCACACAGACTCTCTCATAGTCTGCCTCTCTGTCAAAAAAAAAAAAATGAGCACATAATAGGCAGTAGGTAACACCAATCAGAGAAACTGAAATGAGACTTTTCTCTTAGAACAATGCAAGAGGCATGTTTTTGGGCTAAGCAGAAACATCACCTCCAGAAAAGAGATCATCCCTTTGTGTATGAGAACAATGGAGAGAGCACAGATCTCAGAACATGAATATCCTTTCCTCTTAGAGCTCAGTATCCACCTCTAAAAGAGTACAACAGGGGCCGGGAGCGATGGCTCATGCCTGTAATCCCAGCACTTTGGGAGACTGAGGTGGGCGGATCACAAGGTCAGGAGTTCAAGACCAGCCTGGTCAACAATGTGAAACCCCATCTCTACTAAAGATACAAAAAATGGCCAGGCGCGGTGGCTCAAGCCTGTAATCCCAGCACTTGGGGAGGCCAAGGCGGGTGGATCACGAGGTCAAGAGATCAAGACCATCCTGGTCAACATGGTGAAACCCCGTCTCTATTAAAAAAATACAAAAAATCAGCTGGGCATGATGGCGTGTGCCTGTAATCCCAGCTACTCAGGAGGCTGAGGCAGGAGAATTGCCTGAACCCAGGAGGTGGAGGTTGCGGTGAGCCGAGATCGCGCCATTGCACTCCAGCCTGGGTAACAAGAGCGAAACTCCGTCTCAAAAAAAAAAGATACAAAAAATTAGCCAGGTGTGGTGGTGCGCCTCTATAATCCCAGCTACTCAGGAGGCTGAGGCAGGAGAATTGCTTGATCCTGGGAGGCAGAGGTTGCAATGAGCTGAGATTGTGCCATTGTACTTCAGCCTAGGCAACAGGGCAAGACTCCACCATTTTTAAAAAAAAAAAAGTACAACAGGAATGCAAAACCATGCTCTGGAATCTTTGTTTCCACACAGGGAACAGAAGGTCACTGCATTCCAGCCCCATAGAGGAATTCAGTCAAAGTCCCAGGGCTTGACCTTGTCTTCCTCATATGGACACAGACTTTAGCTCTCCCTGTGCCCATCTCATATGTTCTGCTCCTGTAAGTCTGAGACCAGTGAGGCTGTCCTCCTCAATTTAGTTGTGTTTTTTGTTGTTGTTGTTTGGTTAGTTGTTTTTTTTTTTTTTTGAGACAGAATCTTGCTCTGTTGCCAGAGTGGAGTGCAGCGGCGCAATCTCTGCTCACTGCAACCTCCACCTCCTGGGTTCAAGTGATTCCCTTGCCTCAGCCTCCTGAGTAGCTGGGACTACAGGCATGCACCACCACGCCTGGCTCATTTTTTGTTTTTAGTAGAGACTGGGTTTCACCATGTTGGCCAGGATAGTCTCAACCTCCTGACCTCGTTATCTGCCCACCTTGGCCTCCCAAAGTGCTGGGATTATAGGCGTGAGCCACTACGCCTGGTCTTTTTTTTTTTTTTTTTTTTTTTTTAAGAGTGGGTCTCACTATGTTGCCCAGGCTGGAGCAAAGTGACTAGTCACAGGCATGATCGTAGTGCACTGCAGTCTTAATCTCCTGGGCTCAAGTGATCCTCCTGCCTCAGCATCCTGAGTAGCTGGGACTAAAAGCATTTGCCTGGCTCACATCAATTCTTTACATATTTTAAAAAAGTCTCCCTTCAGTAATACCCAGGAAGAAGAGACATTACAGAGCGACACCCTTCACACAGCACGGAAATGTTACGTTGTGATCAGTGGTGCTACATAGCTCTTCCTTTTGGAGATGCATGTCCAGACCCTGACTTGTTGGCCCAGGATGTAGACAGAGCAAGAAGGAAATGCAGTAGTAACAGATCCTTGGGAATCTTTTTCTATTTCTGAAATGTGAGGAGTAAAACAAAAGGAAGCTTTCTCCGTCTTCCTACAGCTCCTAGGATAGCTGTGCCTCTCATCCAGCCCTTCCTTTACCTTCTCAGAATAGACGCTCTCCTAGGAGAATGTTAGCAGGAAAGCAACAACATTTAAAGAGGGAGTCCCCTTCCAAAGAGGTTCACCACAAATTGGATTCTAACACATGAGACAGCAGCCAAGGAGGTGTTCTGGGCCTCTAAAAAGAATGTTACATGTCAAAGGTAACAGAAGATCTAGGCATCTTGCCTGCTTCACTTAGGGAATCTTCAATAGAAGCCTTTGAAATTTGTATTCCAGCCCTGTGAGAAGATGACCCTGCAAGCAAGGAAGGTGGTGGAAGCTAGGAGAAGCCGTGGCCCTAAGACGGGGCTGTAAACACTGTGGTTTTCTAAGGCCAACTGGGTACATAGCTTTGGCAGCTATGATTAAATCTCCAAAAGGTGGTGAAGAACATGTTCCAGAAAAAAAAGTCTTTCCACATTTTAAGAATGTGGGGGACTACTGCTGGAGGAGAAGGGGTGCACTGAGAAAGAAGACGCTCTCCTCCAGCCAGGGGCTATGAGGTGGCTAGTCAGGTAAATCCCCCATCATGTTCCATGTTCATACCAATACACTTCAACAGTTGAGAAAGCAAATAGGCCTACATCGATTTGGTAACGTGGCTCTAAAATGGGTAGAAACTCTCTTGCAAGGTCACGAAGTTGACAAAACCTCTCGGGACTTCCTGGTCAAGCCATAGCTGTCAGCCTCAAGGAAAGACTACCAGGCCTTGAGGAAAGGCCAGGTGAGTGCAGGCCCAAGTCCCTGCAGCTGCAAGCCCTGAGCCCGACCCTGAGATGCAGCCAGGGAGAGTGGAGCTACACCTCTGTCCCCTGGGAGCTATGCCTCAGGACTTGGTCCTCGCATTGGCAGATTTTGGGGCAGTCAGCAGCCCCTTCAGGGATCTTACTCCCAGAGCCGCCAAGCAGGGTGGACATCCTCCCTGATGAGACTCTTGCCTACTAGGGCTACTCACCACCATGTGATCTTGAACTCATAGATGGGGCGCTTGCAGTAGTAGTGGTTCACGAGGTGCTTGTCACACACCCCGATGCACTGGTGGTCTACGGTGAGGCCCTGGGCCGAGAGGTCCGTGACCAGGCAGTGCAGCAGGTCATAAACATCAGCCACAGCCTCCCAGGGCCCAAAAGACACATCCACTTCACAGTGGTGCTCGAAGAGCTGCCCGTCACTCTCACTCCGCTCAAAGCGCAGGGAGTTGAGGAGCGGACACTCATAGGGGGTGATGGGCATCTCCTCCTTGAAGACACAGACCTTGAGCTTGGCAAAGCGGGCCTTCCGCTGGACCGCACGCAGCCGGGCAATCTCCACAATCCGCTCCAAGTGGTCTATGAGCGTGAACACAACACCCATTACCGGGGCGAAGGGGCAGGACAGGCTAGCAGAGATACACAAAGAAACAGTCCTGAAGATGGCAGGATGCAGGAGGGGAAAGACAGATTTCCCGGGGGAGGGACCGGGGGGCCAATTAAAGGCACAAACTTAAACAAGGGTCATGGTTCTGCACAGCAAAGGGAAACCAATGGGACGAGGGCTGTCCTGAAACACAATTTTCTGACTGGGACGGATAGGCCAGGTAGGCCCACCTTAACCTGAATCTCTCTAGCTTGACTGTCATAGGCAAGGTAGGCACACCTTAACCTGAATCGCCCCCGCCTGACTGGGAGCGAGGACACTCCCTCCCATCTTGAGTAATCTGGATGAATGCTGCCCTCGGTGTTCTGGTAGAGACCTAAAGACTCGAAGATGCCTTGTACACCTCCTTCCTCATACCCACCATCCTGGGAAGCTGACTCTCACCTTTGTAATAGGGCATGAGTCCCAGAAATGCCTGGCGCACCTTCTCGCCCTTCAGAGGCTGCATGTTCTCCAGCTGCTCCAGGAGGGGCCCGATGGCATAGTACTGGGCCTCTTTGTACACAGCCCGAACACGCTCCCTGGGTGGCAGGTCCCCTGAGCGCAGGAAATTCAGCACATCTCTGAGCAGGAAGGAAAGAGTGTCAGTGAAAAGGAGCTCATGCTCCTGGGCAGTGCCACACAGTGGTTGGACAAAATCTAAAACCAGACTGCCAACGGTGTTACACTGGGTAACTGAACTTAACCTCTCCATGCCTCAGTTTCCTTGTCTGTAAAATTGGAGAAAACAATAAAACCTCATGATGTATTAGGGAATTAAGTGCTTAGAAAATCCCTGGCACAGAGTAAAGCTTCAATAAGTGTTATTAGTTGCTGTTATCAGTAGGCAACTACAATTACTATTATTAGGTATAATATTAGGTATAATATTAGGTATTATTAGGTATATGTAAGTATAATTGAAAGATATGACATCTAGCCCCATATATATATATACACACACACATATACACACATACATATATATACACACACACACACATATATATATACACACATATGCATATATATATAGTTTTAAAACTGAGGTGAAATATTCATTAAATGTACAAATATTAACTGTACAGTTCAGTTATTTTTTTTAAGTATGAATACACCCATCCAACCAACACCTAGATCAAGATAAAACATTTCCGCTGGGTGTGGTGGCTCATGACTGTAATCCCAGCACTTTGGGAGGCCAAGGCAGGCAGATCACAAGGTCAGGAGTTCAAGACCAGCGTGACCAATATGGTGAAACCCCGTCTCTATTAAAAATACAAAAAAGGCCAGGCGCGGTGGCTCATGCCTGTAATCCCAGCACTTTGGGAGGCTGAGGCGGGTAGACCACTCTAGGCCAGGAGTTCGAGACCAGCCTGCCAACATGGTGAAACCCTGTCTCAAATATAAAAAAAAATTACCCAGGCGTGGTGGCCCAGCTACTTGGGAGGCTGAGGCAGGTGAACTGCTTGAGCCCGGGAGGCAGAGGTTGCAGTGAGCAGAGATTCCACCACTGCACTCCAGTCTGGTGAGAAAGCAAGACTCCGTTTCAAAAAAAAAAAAGAAAAGAAAAAAAATTAGCTGGGCGGGGTGGTGCACATTTGTAATCCCAACTACTCAGGAGGCTGAGGCTGGAGAATCACTTGAACCCAGGAGGCAGAGGTTGCAGCAAGCCAAGGTCACACCACTGCTCTCCAGCCTGGGTGACAAGAGTGAGACTCCGTCTCAAAAAAAAAAAAAAAAATTCCATTCCTTAAAGTTCCTCGTGCCACTTCCGTTAATCCCTATAGAAGCAACTACTCTAACTTCTCCTTCTATCAGTAAAGATTAGTTTTCCCTTTTCTTGAAATTCATATAATTATATAGTATGTTCTTTCATACCTGGCTTCTTTCCTTCAACATAATGATTTTGAAATTTATCCACCATATTGTGTGTTCCAGTAGTTTGTTATTATTTATGTAAGTATACTCTTGCATGAATATACTATAATTTATTTACCCTGTTGTCTTGTTGATGAACATTTGAGTTGTTTCCAGTTTTTGGCTATTATGAGTAAAGCTGGGATGAACACTCCTAGATAAGACCTTTAGCCTGGGCGCGGTGGCTTACGCTTATGATCCCAGCACTTTGGCAGGCTGAGGTGGGTAGATCACCTGAGGTCAGCAGTTCAAGACCAGCCTGACCAACATGAAGAAACCCTGTCTCTATTAAAAATACAAAATTAGGGCCGGGCGCGGTGGCTCAAGCCTGTAATCCCAGCACTTTGGGAGGCCGAGGCGGGTGGATCACGAGGTCAAGAGATCGAGACCATCCTGGTCAACATGATGAAACCCCGTCTCTACTAAAAATACAAAAAAAAAATTAGCTGGGCATGGTGGCACGTGCCTGTAATCCCAGCTACTCAGGAGGCTGAGGCAGGAGAATTGCCTGAACCCAGGAGGCGGAGGTTGCGGTGAGCCGAGATCGCGCCATTGCACTCCAGCCTGGGTAACATGAGTGAAACTCCGTCTCAAAAAAAAAAAAATAAATAAAAAAAAAAAAATACAAAATTAGCCTGGCATGGTGGTGCATGTCTGTCATCCCAGCTACTCGGGAGGCTGAGGCAGGAGAATTGCTTGAACCCAGAAGGCGAAGGTTTCAGTGAGCCGAGATTGTGTATTGCACTTCAGTCTGGGCAAAACCCTCTTGAAATAAATAAATAAAAAGAGCAAAACTCTGTCTCAAAAAAAAAATAAAGTTAGCTGGGTGTAGTGGCAAACACCTGTAATCCCAGTTACTCAGCAGGCTGAGGCAAGGGAACTGCTTGAACCTGGGAAGCAGAGGTTACAGCGAGCTGAGATCATGCCACTGCACTCCAGCCTGGGCGACAAAAGTGAGACTCCATCTCAAAAAAAAAAAAAAAAAAAGAACTTTAGTGGACACAGCACAAATTTGTTTTGAGTAAGTATTGGGAGTGGAATTGTTCAGTCATAGTGTAAGCATGTGGCTAACAAAGTGGCAGCAGCATATCACATTCCCACTAGCAATGCAGAAGAGTTCTAGGTGTTCCCCATCCTTGCGAGTGGTATTATTCTGTAGCTATGCAGAGCAGGTAAAATGCCTACCCCTAATGTCTGAATGAACTGATTCCACGGCTGAATAAAATCACTTTTTATTTTCTTAAAATTCAGTCCTTCTAATTTATTTTTCAGATTCTTTTTTTTTCTTTTTCTTTTTTAAGAGATAGGGTCTTGTTCTGTCACCCAGGCTGGAGGACAGTGGTAAAATCATAGCTCACTGTAGCCTCTAACTCCTAGGCTCAAGCAGTCCTCTTGGTTCAGCCTCCCGAATAGCTGGGACCATAAGTGCAAGCCACCAGCTTTTTAGATTCTTTATTACTAAGAATAATCAGATACTTCACTGGTATGTGTGGAAGAGAGTGATAAACCTCAAGATTATGCTGCTACCTCAATAAGAGCTTAGTCTATGACCTAATGCAACACCAGCTAACACTCGCTAAGTATTACTTGATGCCAGCCACTATTCATGGGTTATCCTATGTAATCCTCTCAATGACATTAGGGGGTGTGTGCTATCTTATCTCTATGTTGTAAATGAGGTTCAAGTAGGGCCCAGAGAGGTTCGTGAACACTCTTGCTCAAGTAGTCACAGCTGCCAGAGGCTCAGATCCAGTCATGGCTGACTCTACAACCACATCCACACTGGTCCAGCTTCAGCAGAGGCATTTAAACCAGAGTGTGGCAAGCCGATGACAATGGAGATGGACCCCAGGTGGAGGCCCAAGCAGCCTTCATGGTGGGTGCTGGGGGTACATAGCTATATAGCAAGAAATGCACCCTGCGAAATGCCTTGAACCCCCCATTTTATCTGAGTCATTCAACAACTTCATCTCCTGCTGATGAATCACAGGTCACAGGAGCTCATCAGCCCAAGTATGAATGTCACCATCTCCTGCTTTCTGCCATGCCCTTGCCTGACACTGTCACTCTCTAGCTGTAGCCACCTGGGCATAGGCAATTCCACCTCAAGTCAAACTCAGATTCCCCTCCCCAAAATCCCTTCGAGATCTTTAGCAAACCTTGGTGAGCTCTGAAAAACAAAACTCTGGGGAAAGACCCAGCTAAGAGTGCTGTGGGAGCCGCCAGCTGGAGCCAGCACTTTCCTCCCCCAAGCAGCCTGCAAACAAACATCTTTTTATAGTTCTGCAGAGCGATGTGACACTTTGTTTTCTCAGCACTGAGGCAGCTGATAGCCCACTGGGGAAACCTAGATGCTTCCAAGCAAGTTATCTGACCAGGGGCTCCTTTCTGAGAATAAAAATGACCTTTCCCAAAATGTGGGCAATACTACTTGGAGGCCAGTACAGAGACGTTGTGGTTGGAGTTTCTGCCTCCCTGGGCATTTGGTTCGAGGTCTCTAGTCATCTCCAATGTCAGACTGAAGGAGCTAAGAGTTCCAGCCACATACTCTGAAAAGGACATGGCTAGGGGTCACACCAAGGCTCTTTACATAATCCTCACTGACAAGCCTGTGCAGCAGCTATAATTATTTCTTATTTCACAAACACACAACCAGAGGCATAAAGTCTTTAAATTGTTTATGCATAAGGTTGTCAGAAGTCCTCGGGAAAGGTTTTTCTTTATTAAGAGACAGAGCCTTAGCCAGTGCAGCCTGTAATCCCAGCAATTTGGGAGTCTGAGGCAGGAGGATCACTTGAGTCTAGGAGTTTGAGAACATCCTGGGCAACATAGTGAGACCTCATCTCTACAAAAAATCAAAAATTAGCCAGGCATGGCGGTGCACACCTCTAGTCCCAGCTACTTGGGAAGCTGAGGCAGAATTGCTTGCACCTGGGAGGTCAAGGCTGCAGTGACCCATGCTCGTGCCACTGTACTCAGCTTGGGCAACTGAGCAAGACACTGTCTCAAAAACAAACCACCACCACAACAACAAAAAAAAACAGTCTCACTCTGTTGCCCAGGCTGGAGCACAGTGGTAGGATCATGGCTCACTGCAGCCTTCAACTCCTGGGCTCAAGCCATCCTCCCACCTCAGCCTCACAAGCAGCTGGGACTAAAGGCAAGTGTCACCATGCCTGGCTGCTATTTTGTTGTTGTTGAGATTGTGTTTTTGACGTTTTAGTGTTAAGTGACAGGAACAACAGAGGTTTGTTTTTTGAGACAGTGTCTTGCTCAGTGAGACAGAGTTTCACTCTTGTTACCCAGGCTGGAGTGCAATGGTGCGATCTCGGCTCACCGCAACCTCTGCCTCCTGGGTTCAGGCAATTCTCCTGCCTCAGCCTCCCGAGTAGCTGGGATTACAGGCACGCACCACCATGCCCAGCTAATTTTTTGTATTTTTAGTAGAGATGGGGTTTCACCATGTTGACCAGGATGGTCTCGATCTCTTGACCTCGTGATCCACCCGCCTTGGCCATCCAAAGTGCTGGGATTACAGGCATGAGCCACCGCGCCCGGCCTGGTTTTTGTTTTTTAAAATAAAGACTTTTCTTGGCAAAATTAAAGAACAACCCTGTATCAGTCTTTCATCTTTTTTGTTGTTTTTGTTTGTTTGTTTTTCGGTTTTTAAAATTTTTTTATTGTAGAAAAATTAAATTTTCTTTTTCTTTTCTTTTTTTTGTACTGGGTATGTAGCTATGTTGTTGTTGTTGTTTTAAACTACTGGGAACCACTGCTACACACCATGCTTCCTTCCCAGAGCAATGCTGAGCCCAATAATCTAGATCTAAATGTACTCTCCAAGCTGTTTTTGTTTACACTCTCCACCTGAGATTATACTTATTACCCTCCACACAGACGACAACTTCCTGGTCTCATATTGCCTAGGATAGTCACGTGTGGGGGCGCATGCCTGTCATCTCAGCTATTTGGGAGGCTGAGGTGAGAAGACTGCTTGAGCCAGGAGCTTAAGTATGCAGTGACCTATGATGACACTGGTGAATAGCCACTACATTCCACCTTGGGCAACAAAGCAAGACCCTATCTCCGAAAAGCAGCACCCCCCCCAATCAAAAAAAGAAAAAATAAAAAACATGGCTGGGCACAGTGGCTCACACGTGTAATTCCACAACTTTGGGAGACGAAGTGAGGCAGGAGGATCACCTGAGGTCAGGAGTTCGAGACCAGCCTGACCAACGTGGAGAAACCCTGTCTCTGCTAAAAATAGAAAAAATAATTAGCAAGGCATGGTGATGTATGCCTGTAATCCAGCTATTCGGGACACTGAGGCAGGAGAATCGCTTGAACCTGGAGGCGGTGGTTGCAGTGAGTCGAAATCGTGCCATTGCACTCCAGCCTGGGCAACAAAAGTGAAACTATTAAAAAAAAAAAAAAAAAAAAAAAACAGATGGGGTTTCACCACATTGGTCAGGCTGGTCTTGAACTCCCGACCTCAGGTGATCCACCCTCCTTGGCCTCCAAAGTGCTTGGATTACAGGCATGAGCCACCGCGCCCGGCCTGTTTTGTATTTTGAGATGGAGTCTCGCTCTGTCGCCCAGGCTGGAGTGCAGTGGTGTGATCTTGGCTCACTGCAACCTCTGCCTCCTGGGTTCAAGCAATTCTCCTACCTCAGCCTCCTGAGTAGCTGGGATTACAAGCATGAGCCACCATACCCAACTAATTTTTGTATTTTTAGGAGAGACAGGGTTTCACCATGTTGGCAGGCTGGTCTCGAATTCCTGGCCTAGAGTGATCCACTTGCCTCGGCCTCCCAAAGTGCTGGGATTACAGGTGTGAGCCACCACACTTGGCTAAAAATAATTTTTTTTTTTTTTTTGAGACTGAGTCTCACTCTATTGCCAGGCTGGGCAGTGGCACAATATCGGCTCACTGCAACCTCTGCTCTCCACCAGGGTTCAAGTGATTCTCCTGTCTCAGCCTCCTGAATAGCTGGGACTATAGGTACCTGCCACCACACCTAGCTAATTTTTGTATTTTTAGTAGAGACAGGGTTTCACCATGTCAGCCAGGATGGTTTTGCTCTCTTGACCTCGTGATCCACCTGTCTTGGCCTCCCAATGTGCTGGGATTACAGGCGTGAGCCACTGTGCTGGGACAAAAATAAAACATTTTAAATTGTCTAGGATTGAAGCAATTTCCTACAGCCAGTGTGTGTTATTTGGAATTTGTCTGTCTTAGTCTCCTTTGGCTAAATAAATAAATAAATTTTATCTAATTCAGTAAGCCCATTTATTAAATGCCATCAATATGTTATCTCTTCTTCTAGGTACTATGGAAGATACTAACGTCCCATACTCAAGCCCAGGCTACTCACTTGCTAGGACTACAAAGCTGACTGTAGAGGGAGAGACATACCCAAAGTGTGTGCCATCTCGGTCGATGAAATACCGGCCCTCGGAGTCCGTGGGGATGTAGTGCCGTCCACTGAACATGGCTGCCAACATGGTGTCTTCGTAGCGCCGCAGTGTGGACAGGCGGGTAGTGAAGTGAGCCCCTCCGATGTTAAGGGGGACAACCTCAGGAAACTGGAAAGAAATCACCAGGGCTCTCAGGCGGTGGGGAATGAGAGCTGGGTGGGGCTGCTCCATCTTCAGTCCCTCGGGTCTGATTGGTGCCACACCATTCACTCAGTCACTCAAGCCCAGGAGTCCATCTAATCACTTTCTTCTCTGTCCTCCCTCTGCCCCACCCTCATCGCCTGCTGAGTCCTACCCATTCCAACCCTCAGAGCTCTTTTTTTTTTTTTTTTTTTTTGGGCCGGAGTTTCGCTCTTGTTACCCAGGCTGGAGTGCAATGGCGCTATCTCGGCTCACCGCAACCTCCGCCTCCTGGGTTCAGGCAATTCTCCTGCCTCAGCCTCCTGAGTAGCTGGGATTACAGGCACGCGCCACCATGCCCAGCTAATTTTTTGTATTTTTAGTAGAGACGGGGTTTCACCGTGTTGACCAGGATGGTCTAGATCTCTTGACCTCGTGATCCACCCGCCTCGGCCTCCCAAAGTGCTGGGATTACAGGCGTGAGCCACCGCGCCCGGCCCCTCAGAGCTCTTAAATCAGGTCTCTCCACCTCAACCCCATTATCACTGCTCTAGAGCTCAAGCCTTCGGTGTCCTTTCACTTCCAGAATTTACCAGCTTTGTGCTTTTGCTCACATTATCTTCTTTGCCCAAAATGCTCTCACCACTCTCCTTCTTCTGTCTATATGGCAAGTTTAATGGCCCCATATAGTGGTATAGGTTGTTCACTGCAAAAAAGCACCTGGATGAGAATGAACTGCTATGTGCCTTTTCTAATTTACACCAAGATGCCATACAAGTTAGCGGCATCTACTCATTCTAGAATTTTCTATGCAAGTTCCCCTTCCCTGTGAGCATTTCTGCTCAACTGTTCCTCACCTGCCCCCGGGATAGAGTTAATGACACTGTGCCTTCACCATGTGCCACACTCTCCTCTAAAATAGCTCCTAGCACAATACATTGCCAATTATTTTCCTCTGTCAATTCACTCCACCAGACCCCAAGCTTCCCAAAGACAAGGAAAACATCTTGGTCACTAATCACTGGGCTATTCACAGCAGAGCTCAGTAGTTGTGTGTTGAATGCTTCCAGGCATCTACTCCTCTCCTAATCTGTAGAGTGAGACTGGTCTCCAGTACATCTAAAGTTCTAGAGGCAAGAGCTGAGTGAAGAACATGGAAACAATGGTATAGGCCTGGTGCAGTGGCTCACACCTGTAATCCCAGCACTTTGGGAGGCTGAGGTGGGCGGATCACAAGGTCAGTTCAAGCCCACTGTGACCAACATGGTGAAACCCCATTTCTACTAAAAATACAAAAATTAGCTGGCGTGCTGGCAGGTGCCTATAATCCCAGCTACTCAGGAGGCTGAGGCAGGAGAATTGCTTGAACCTGGGAGGCAGAGGTTGCAGTGAGCCAAGATCCTGCCACTGTACTCTAGCCTGGGCAACAGAAGGAGACTCCCATCTCAAAAAAAAAAAAAAAAAAAAAAAGGAATAGAATGTGATGGAATAAATATGCCCTAAGAAGCTCGAGGTTTCCATTACAATGCAAAGCTTTTTTTTTTTTTTTTTCCTGTTTTTCACTGCTTGTGGTTTCTACCAAACTGCATTTGAAAGAAATGAGGTCAGTTTAAGTTCTCTCTAATCTTCCCACAAACTTCCTCCAGATCAATTCAAATTTTATCTCCATGCGTCATTTTTTTTTCTTTTTTAGAGACGGAGTCTCACTGCAACGCCCAGGCTGGAGGGCAGTGGCACGATCTCGGTTCACTGCAACTTCTGCCTCCCGGGTTCAAGTGATTCTGCTGCCCCAGCCTCCCCAGTAGCTGGGACTACAGGCACGCACGACCACACCAGCTAAATCTATTTTTAGTAGAGAGGGCGTTTCACCATGTTGGCCGGGCTGGTCTCAAACTCCTAATCTCAAGTGATCTGCCTGCCACAGCCTCCCAAAGTGCTGGGATTACAGCCATGCATCCTTTTCAATATTACATCTCTCTTGCTCCAGTGAAGGCCTACTCATCTACACAGTCCCTTTCCCAACTTTCAAATCATTTGTGAAATAAAATAGGATACAAGTACCTTAAATCATGATGACCCAGGACCTTGTGCAGTGCCTGGCTCACGTAAAGACCCAGAATTTACTGAATGAATGAACGAATGAACAGACGGGTATTTACACTTCTGTGTGTATGTACTGTTATTCTTCTGCACCCATAGGACATAACAATGCCTTGTGCTTACTCTGTAGGTCCTCTAAAACCATTTTATGTGTATATAAAGGGCTCAAATATCGTTTTGTAGTAGTAATACTTAACATTTCTGGAGCTTTTAAAATCTTTTCCAAAAATACTTGATCCCAATCCAGGTGTTTGCTCCGTATTAGAGATGAGAGGATTGAAGCGGAGAGGACGAAAGCTATGGAAAACTGTTTTAGAGCTCACATGGAACAATGGAATCAGTGTGGGGAGCTGGCAGTGAGGCCCTGGTCTGAGGTCTATGGTCTTGTGCTCTTTCCCTCAAACCACATCATTTCCCCAATGACAGTGCACAAAAAACAGCACCACTGTGACTACTGACTTTTTTTTCAATGGCAGAGATTACTTGTAGATTTTTGCTCCTTTTCCCATGGCATCGTGTGTTCGGGCTTGCAATCTCGGCACAACACCGTCTGCTTCCCAAGAGTATCACCTAGCCCAGCCCACGAGGGCTTCTATCCATTGTCCTGGGACTCCACATACCACATGCTCCTGGATCTGGCACTACCTTAGTCCCTGCCTCCTAGGAGCCATCTTCGGTGTTCAGTAATGCTTCACCTTCCCTCCCTCATGTTTATTTCTTATTTGTAGACATGGAGTCTCACTGTGTTGCCCAGGCTGGTCCCAGACTCCTGGCCTCAAGCTATCCTCCTATCTTGGCCTCCCAAAGCTCTGGAATAACAAGTGTAAGCCACCACACCTGGCATCTTTTCCCTTGTTTTTTTTTTTGTTTCTGTTTGTTTGGAGGCAAGGTCTTACTGTGTCACCCAGGCTGGAGTGCAGTAGCACAATCATAGCTCATTGTAGCCTTAACCTGCAGGACTCAAGCAATCTTCCCAACTCACCTTCCTGAGCACCTGGGACTACAGGCGCACACCAGCATGCCTGGCTAATTTTTACTTTTATTTTTGTAAAGGCAGAATCTCACTATTGTCCTGGCTGGGCTCAAGCAGTCCTCCCAGCTCAGCCCCCTGAAGTGCTGAGATAGATTACAAATGTGAGCCACCATGCCTGGTATCTTTTCCTTTCTCTTGAGTGTCACTTCAGGTGCTGACATGATAGTATCACACACATTAAGTAAGACCGGTGGAAGCCCCGGCGCATCAGCACAGCAGCCTGTCTGTGGAAGCCATGGGGTGCCCGCTGACCATGGACACATCTATGAACTGGCCTGCCCCTTATCTGCAGACAGCGCCTTGCCCTGTTCCGTAGGCAGCTGAAGAGTAGGTGTCAGCGACCACTAAGGCATCCTGCTGGATTCTCTAGAAAACATCTTTTTCTTTTCTTTTTTGTATTCATCCAAACCGAAATGGCTTTTTTTTTTTTTTTTCCAGTCGTAGTAGGAACGGGGACCGCCCTATGTTGCCCAGGCTGGCCTACAACGCTCTGAAGCGATCCTCCCTCCCAAAGTGCTGGGATTACAGGCGCGAGCCACTGTGCCTGGTGAGACACCATCGGCTCTGGGGGCTCCAGCATAGCTCTCCCACGGCCCACCTTCCCTCTTGTCTTCGGTAAAGCTGGGACATGCGGATGGGATTAAATCACCTTTACAGGGACAGTGAGTACTGCGAGGAGGGGGTGGGGGGCGCGAAAGCCCACCTGCTCGGTGCAAGTGACAGGAGTACAAGTGGGCGGGGCTGCAGGTGGGCGGGGAGGAGCGCCGGAGGGTGGGGGCTGGAGGTGGGCGGGGGAAGGGCGGAGGTGGGCGGGGGAAGGGCGCAGGTGGGCGGGGGA